AGCCCAATATAATCCATCATTAGTCTCTCGCCATAATTTTACCATATCATCTAATTCTTTTCGTTTAGTACAAGATAACTGCAAGCATTCGACAAACATAAGTTCATAAACTTTCCCATTATATTTAAACTCGAACATCATGTCTGGTCGTCTTCCCATTTGACCATCGCCCTTTCTATCAGCACTGGCGAGACTTTGCCATTCTGATGTACTAATAAATGCAGTCTTCCCAAAAGGAAGACTTTTCAAAGCAGATCAGATTGCTGGTATTATCACATTTGTCACATAAGTGCTTTCATTAAGCGAATCTTCAAAATCTAGTCCAAACGCTGGATTGTTTCAGACATCACTCCTATTAATAATGAATCAGTGATATATACAGTAATAATTTTCCTTGTTATTACTTACAATGTATCAAGAATATTAGTCACAACTCTAGCGAGTATCTCTACTGACTCTTTTCAAGAACTGTCATACTTTAGTTTATCAGGTAAACTTTCCGTTCAATGTTCATTGAAGTTTGTTATAAATCTTCTACATGTTTCTCGAATTATTGCTAAATTTAGAGGTATAATTTGACGTGATAGTTTCTAGTAAAGAGAGCTGAATTAGAAAATTGATTTTATAATTCTCAAAAATTATAAAGTACTTACTAAAAAAGTATTTTGTATTTTCTGTGAAAGGTTTCAAATTAAGCCTGAATCGTCACTAATAACTCTACTAGCAAGTGAATCTTTTCATGAAAGGTTAGAAGCAGTAATCGATCTCAATCCAAGTATTAATTCATTAGAAAATGAGGATTGTTTTCTCTATAACAAAATAACCAATTAATAAAGAATTTAGTCCTGAGAACATTATCAACATATGCTTACTGAAAGTTTCAATCTCATATTATCCAATTTGTTTTAAGGTAAGAGGTTTCTCTTTATTCACTTTTATAACTCCGATATCCCGTAAGCTATAGACACCTTCAAAGGATACATCAAACTATAACAATGATAGATTGAGTTATTATTCCCATAAACAAAATCTCCTTTCAAAATTAATGTGTGCACCGTCAGCTATCATAAGAAAAATTATTGTCTTCGTAAAACCTTTACGTCAATGATAACTTTTGCATAGTACGATAATAACCACATATGGATAAAGCATAATGCTACAGTATATTTACCCTCCATGCGTCTGAGGAAAATAGTTATCCCTTAATTGCAGGCTATTAGAATATCTAAACTGTTATGCTCACTATTTAGGAAATACTAAAGCTATGACAAATCATCATTCTATCTAACAAATATTTTTTTAGGTTCGTTTCATAAGGACTTACCTGAAGAAGTATTCCAAGAAATTTTTGTTGATGTTCTGAACCTTGAGTATAAAGATTTATTGCCGACGAAATTGCTTGATGAACCATTCCTCTTAACTCTTCTTTTGAAATCCATGGATCCTTCTCTATTCCTTGGTAGATAACCAAGGTGGCAGTAATGTGTTCTTGCTTAGCAGTTACTAAAAAATTGTAAATTTTCGAATATAGTTCAGAAGACAATTTAGTATTGTTAATATAGAATAAGCAATCCAAACTAAAAATTTCGTATACTTACCCTTTAAATGATTCCATTTCATGTCTCTCTGAACTTACATTCATGTTGGGGAGAAGAGAAAGGAGAATATGCAAGGCAGTTTACGCCAAAATTTGTGTTAGAAAATAAGGGCATGCAGAATGTGCATTGAAGATCTCTACATTTATAAAGGCGTTAAGAGCGATACATATACCTTCTTTTTTATTTCACTTGCTCGACTACTCAGTAATAAAGCCTAGTAGCATTATACAAATATACTCTGGTCGAAATCTAGTAAAAATAGACTCTAGCATCGGAGGAAATAAACTCATAAATAAATGCTATTCAGATAGATAGGGAAAATTTAAATATTCTTAAGGTCGATTTCTTGTGTGAAAATTGTTTTATTGCACAAGCAATCACACAGAATTACAGATGATTTGTGATGTATCACTTATTATATCATATACACTTTAAAAAGGATCATAAACATGTTTTATTTATGTCACACACTATTCTCCTACATACATTGGCCTTAAGGCGCTTCATATAGCTAGACAGTATATTATTTTATTAAGACAATATTCAGGATCTGGGTCAAGGACTGATCTGGAAAATTTGACGTACTAACTCATAATTATCATCCAAATCTGAGAAATTTACAGTAATATCTTTTTCCCCGTAAATATGATATATGTATTTTAACAGTGAATTGCATATAGGTTTTTCCATTCCTAATGATCTACTCTTATATACCTCGTATTTTAAAATTCTGATAAAGAATGCATAATTATATATTTTTTTATAAATGCTACTATAATATTTGGGATTCTGTGGTCATTTTAACATGTCAAGCCAATATGTATCTCTAACAACTATATAGCCTTGCTGATATAATAATTTCCTAACAAGTATGTGTGTCACAAAAGCTAATCGTCCTTATAATTGGACTCTCTTCTCATATGGGGTCTTTGCAATAGAAAGGGAGGAAACTCTAAAAAAATTAAAATTTTAGTTTATAAGCCAAAAATATTCTAAATACTATAATTTGTTCAGATTTATTATTAACTCATTTTTTATTTTTTTTTGAGTTTCCTCCCTTTCTATTGCAAAGGCCTCATATATCCAAGTAGTAGTAAAATAAATGTTATATTGATTTTCTACATAAAATTGGTCAATCACATAATTAGATTCTATTAGTTTTCCATTAATGAAACAATATATTTTACTACGAGGAACGATATCTAAAAACTTCTTATTGTCAGAAGTGCCATCATTCCTCACCACCTCCTAAACCCGTTTTGCCAAAGATTCAGGTCTTTTCTTGTAATTCTTGTAAGCTCGCTGGATAATTGTTACATAGAAATTCTCAAACTGATAGTTATATTATCTCACAATCAAGAATCCCCAAGATTACTTCATTGATCTTCCTGAACTTCTCGAAAAATACTTTATTAAAATAGTTATTCCTTAAACGATAAGAAAAATAGAAAGATATTTGAGGAACAATAGGAATTCACCTGGAGGTGAGACTATTATATAATTGATCTAGCAGATTTGCTCGCAAACCATTTAAGGAATAGATTAGAGAATCTAATCCAGATTAGGTAGATCATGCATAGTGTCTGCACTAGGCGATCATGCATACAGATTAATATAGCTATTCATTTCACAAAAAAATAAAATATATCATGGAATTGCATCTTTGGCTAAATATATTCGATATTAATGTTAATATTCAGTTGAAAGATATTGCGAAGTGTCTCAAAGGCTAAGTCTATTTTCTTCCTGCATTTTCTGCATAGAATCGAAATATGCTTTGGCAAGATCACTAAGACTAGTCCTGCTAGAAATTTCAGGTGCACTTATACTACGTCGCATTAATGCATCAGGCTTTCGTGAAAAATGGAGGAAGAATTGATCCATTTAATGTTTCAGATCTTTGGTTCAACATATGATGAGAAATTGGCGAAACCATTTTTTGCCCAGCATTAGAAATTTTAGCTGGCTCAAAATTTGAAACACTTGGCATATTATTTTTTGCTATAGTTGCTTTGGCTGAAAGGTAAACTTCATAGCTGACTGAATGAGTATCATAATTATATGATATCTATGCCAATTTATCCTTTTCTGAGTGTGAAGTAGATTGGGAAAAAAGCTTTAGATGAAGATGATTAAGTTTAGCCTCTTCTTGTAATATGTATTGTTTATATACCCAGATAGTAGATTCTCTTTCATCAATAGATTGAAGAATTTCTTTTCTTCTTGCATGTTCGTTTAAAATAATATCTCCATTAATATATCTCTTAAAGTGGTTATCTCAATAGCAAGTTTCTAAACAAGGAGTTTCAGATATGAAAACTAAGGAGTCACATACACTGCAATATATATAATTAGATGGAAGACCATGGACTCTATCACTGCTTTCAATTAATTTTCCATACATTATAATGTATCCATTTCCAGAAAGAATTCTTGGGTTCTCTTCAAGTATTTTTCTAAATAGACCACGGATATGGGAGCATCACATTTCTGATGTTTCATGATCATATCGTTTACCTAAAGGACATAATGCTTCTAATATTCTTCTATATTTTCTGAAGTTTTCATCACTATAGCCTACAGAAACTAGCTTATATTGGGCTCTACGATCTAAATCCATAATAGTGTTTTAATAGTTTATAATAGAATATAGCAATTTTAGTGCGTTATATCGATTCTTTATCAACCTATACTAGATAATAACATGATTCAAATTTATAGTGATTTTATCAATTTGTAGCCGATTTAGTGAGACTACATATTGCTAAATCCAAATTCATTTTTTTTAACATATAAATCAGTTTGTGGATCTCTCGTGATTAACAGGTATTATTACGTATATTATATCACAAGTATTACCCTAGTTCCCGGACAGTTTCTAGCACTTTCTCACAATCTTCCCGCAACTCAAATCACGAGACGATCAGCTAATAAGATTTTACGCGTGCAATAACTAAGCCACCATTATTATTTGATTAATCATTATATTGATCATTATATTCATCATTATGCGAAGCGCCTATAGGGCTACTTTTTTTCAAACCTTGACGCTAATTTATTCTCAGCTCATAAATCATGACATATAAAAGAGAGCCCTTCTTAGTTTGCCCTATTACCTCACTTCTTCTTTGCTTTCCATAAAACTTTTCATAAAGCTTTTCTTGAACGTAATAATGTCTGCACAATAGAGCAAGGAACAAACCTGAATACTCATTGATGAGTGTAAAAATAGAAATGAAGAATATCACTGAACCCCAAATTGTAATAAGAGAAACTTTTGAGAAGATATTGCGAATGAAATCAACTAAGTAAATAATACTAATTACTTCACCGAAAGATTGTAATAAGAAATTTTTAGCTCTAACTTGAGCTTATTATGTAAGTACATCCAAAACATTTGATATGGTTATTATATTACTTAACCTGACTATGATCTGATATTGTAGACAGCTAAGGCTGAAACTAGTGTAAAGGCTAAGATAGGAGTTAAAAAGAAGAGAAGTATTATTGGAGAACATTATTACGAAGAGTCTTTCACAGAATTTTGGCTATTTTTGTGATATTCTTGGGTTAATTAACACAAAAGAATAATCCTAAATGTTTATTGTTTCTAGGGAAATAACGTCATAATGTAGAAGCAATTAATGTAAGAACGACAACATCTAATACACTGAGCAGATCGCAACTATCAAGAATTCCTAGACCAATTGTTACATTATTATCCAGAACTACTTCAAGAACTGGAACTGCTTCAAGAATACCTCAAGCAATTCCTTCACCTAATAGATTACAACTAATAACACCCTCTGTACCTTCTTCTAGTTTGAGATCCGTGACGCCCTCATTTTTTCAAAGTGCCAAAACAATTAATATTTTTATTAATTATGCTGAACCTGATGATCAGGAGTGATATATATTTTAACAATGAAACGCTTTCTCCTATGCAGAAAGTATATTAAAAACATGTCTTTTCACATATCTGCTGTTAAAACGCAGTTTGTAAACAGATCGTGAATTAATTTACTTTGCTATTCTGTATTAAAGCGGGATTTTTTCATATCTGTAAATAACTAGTTTAGAAAATTTTGTATTTTTCATGTCTGTAAGGCAATAAATTATAAAGCGAATAAAATATTTTATCATAATATCACTTGAAAATAAATATAAGCATGTCAGGTTAAATTTATTTAATTATTCCGATGAAGACAAATTCATATTTTTTTGATTCAGTTCTGCCAGTTCCTCGATAGTTCTAGGAGAATTCCAGGAGCTGGCAAGTTTCTATAAACCACGAGATGATCAGTGAGGGGCAGTTTAATTCCTCATATTTATCAGATAAGATATCAAGTGAGGGTCAAAAAAATCTGGACATACATGTTCACTAATTATGTGGTGTCACTATCGATCAAAAAATCTGGACATGTGTGTCCATTAATTATATAGTAGTCAGTATCAACCAAAAAATAAATGGCTGAACAGGCTAAACTTTATTAATATATGTTTTCAGAACACTTTTTTTATACTATAATAGATATTGCCAGACGTGTCAAGTCACAGGCGCAGTAATGTGTGACGTAATACACTATTGACTATCCTGAAGCACTTTAGCAATTACATATTAATGTCATCTTTAGACAAAGCTGTTATAGTTGATAATGAAAAGGTTTTCCTATCATAGCCCTACCCATGTTTACATCCACATTGATGCTGTATTACCTTTTCGCACATATGTTTAAAGCCAGAGAAAAAAATGCAAAAAAATGCCAAGACTTTGATCGTTACCAATGGTAACGGTTTCTGCCAAGAAAAATTTCACTTATGAATTAATATGTTATCTGAATAGTTGCATCAAGAAAAAAAATCAATCAAAAAACGAAAATATAAGTATTTTTCTGATGCACATCTACTCACACGAAAATGTGTATATGTGAATCGACCAGAGTCACTTTATTAATACAGAATATAAATGATTCAGCTTGTAGCTGTGAAATCTTGTTTTACGATTCTACTAGGAGTGGATTTTGAGAAGATATGTGCGTCAATATACGGATGATTCAAAGAAAAGCATCCAAGATCATTTGCAAGATAGAAATTTCGTGGTCTTTGATTTTACTAAAGCATCTAACGATCCTCTTGCAATTAGATTATGATGGGGTACGCTCTTAAAGTTGGATAAATAGCATTTATGCTCATGTTATATAAACAAACATTCACGTGCGTATTCTGAAAAAGAATGCCAATCACTTTTTATCGATCAAAAATACTGTATGGTTTAGTTAATACAATGCTGATAATATTAATCACTTTACAAGAAAATAATTTTGTAAATTTGATATATTACATTTACATTAATTAGCGAAATAGTTAATACTTAATAGCGTATACAATTATATTTTTTGGCTGTCATAACTATTTTTAATGTATTATTATGAATAAAAACACATTGCATGCAAAAAAATTAATTGATTGTTTTGCTTAGAATATTATACGAAGAAAAAAATATAAACATTAGCATAAAAAAAGAATCTAGTTTCTTATTTTCTAAATCAGTGATAGTAATTCCGAAATTGATCCACCAGGACACGGGGATTTTGGAGATGAAGGTTGATTTTTTTCCGCTTCCTTTTTCTTTTCTGGTGTATCTTGCATTGAGGTTATATGGTTATGTGTATTTCCAAAATCAGTTAATGTTAGTATTTGATAAGATCATATTGTGAATATTTGGACATTTCCAACTCATATCTGCCATTCCATCAAATCAACAAGTTTTTTTGCAAATTGTTTGAAGTCATCAAAAGATACGGGTATTTTAATATACATAAACAATTGAAGGATGTAGATCGATGGTAATGGACGAATTAGATACTTGATTTTAGCCAAACCATCTATAAATAATCAGATATCTATAAATTATTAAGCCTTTATTACTCAACATCAAATCAATATGTGTAATTAAGATACTTACTGGCAGATTGTATCAAATAAACTCTTACAATGTCTTTAAGTATGCTTTGCAATAATTTGTTCAGAGTTTTCATAAAGTTCTTATATAACTTGTCTTCTTTCGATTGAGGTGCCCACCTGCCAAATGAGAACTCAATTAATATTATTGTTTGATTCTTTTGAGTTGTGTTGATAATTTTAGTTAGTCCGTTGATTTATGTTTTTTCGTATCGAGGGTGGTTAACTCTATCCTAAATAGATTAATAGAGAATAAATAAGCTAGTAGCTCAAAATTTTTGAATTTAATAATTG